ACAGGCTGTTGGAAATATTCTTTGTGACACGCCAAGTTTCTGATCCGTATAGAAGAACCGACTGACTTGACGTTTGTATTGAAAATCCGAATTTTGTTGTTGATGCAGACTGAATGACGAAGATTTCCAGATTGGTTTCAGGTTGATGAATGTGTTTCTCGCCTTCCCGATTCTCGCTCGATTTGACATCCTCGTCCGTTCCTCCTGTAGTTGAGACAATGCTCCCTAGATAAGTGAATGAAGTAACCTCTTTCAAATCCCTCCCGTTGATGGTGATTGGCGCTGGATGTTGCTGCTATTGTTGTTGTTGTTGGTTGGTTATTTTCATAACCTCCGTCTTGTCTATGTTCACCTGGAGTCCTGTCTTCTCTGGCTGCTTCTTCGACCAGTTTGTCAGTTTTCGCTTGTAAGTCTTCGATTTTGTGTGACATCAAACATAAGTCATCCGCGAAATCCAGGTCTTCTAGGTTCTTCACGTCGGTCCAGGATATCCCTGTCTTCTCGTTTCCCACTATCTGACGCATGATCCAGTCCACCACAATTAGGAATATCAGTGTTGATAATAAGCACCCTTACTCCAAACGCCTCGCTGAGTTTTCCGTTGTGGATCACTTGACATGTGGACGTATAACAGGGAATAACTCAGAACATTATACAGTAAGTTTGCTTAGATGAACTTCGTTATTAGTATTATATTGTCTAGTTCTAAAAATTGTTCAATTCCATAATAGAATATAATTTTATTTGATATAACAAACACTGTGATGCATTATTATTATTGTTATTATTACTATTACTATTCATTTGATTGTTTCAATTAAATAAATAATACTGTGTGTTCTATGAAAATAATAGAGAACAGATTTATAGCTAAGAATAGGGGATTACAATTTGTTCACTCTTCACCAAGTATCGAGATGTCATCAAATATCAAAATATTAAAAACAATTTCTATTGTGTAATAATGTCAACTAGAGAGTTATCCTAGTATGGGAATGCATACACTACTTATCACACTGTCAAAGTTCTTATCTAATACAAATAGTCAATGCTTATGCATAATAATCAATTGTCAGAGTTTAATTAAAAAAAAGAAAGGAGAAAAGAATCAAAAATTGTGAATCAACAGGTTATATCATGATGTTACATAATACTACTACTACTACTACTGACTGGTATGACATAGTTAGAAACCATTCACGTCGAATCTACGGCGCTTGTTATGCAGATTGGATTGACCTAGACACCGGGGCAGTCGTTTTGGGCCAAGCTCATCGATGATTTAACCGAATCGACTTAGTTCAGAGCGGTGAGTCAGTTGATACCACTGAATTCTGGTTAGGTGATTAGATAAACTGGTATTAGTCAAGAATTGATTTGTTCCAAGTTTGACTACGGACTAATATCGGATGGAGAACTATTAAAAACCAGAGGGTACCAGTTTAGGCCCCTTCATCAGTACGCGTCCAACAGGAGGTCCCGGTTTCGAAACCTGGTAAGCGCATACTGATGAAGAGTCCCAAACTAGGACGAAACAGCTGTCCGGTACTCCCAGGTGGTTTTCAATGGTCCTCTTACTGATATTAATCCTTAGTCAAACTTGAAACTGGTAATACACAGAGTCAAATTTGTCATCTGAGGATTGCACAGTTCAAGATGAGAATCAACTAAAGTTGCGTTTGGAAATCGGGCTAAGTTAAACAATGTATACCACTGGTGAGCTCAGCCTGGATCGAATAAAAATGGCTATTCAATGCTTAGATCACCCTGATCTGGTCAACAAGCCCTAATGGATGACGTGAGCAGTTTTCACTTACTCAGTAGTATACGCAGTCATATTATTCTGTTTGCTTTCTCAGTTGCCAGTTTTAGTACCAGACAGATCAAATATTGTGATCCGAATTTGATTCCAATATTAATGTCAGTCTATTCGTTATAAACTCAAGGAAGACTTAATATGTTAAACCGTATTCGCAACCAATAATGGCGAATTGCGAAAGAAACCAAACTTTCTGTGCTATGAAACTTGCATCAGTATTTGACACTAAGTATATACTGACAAGTAAACTAACAAAAATCTGTTGACAACAGATCCCAACTGAGATTACAAAATTTTAAGCTTTCATTCGTCTATGTAAAAAAAAATATAATATATATCAAGAATTTACCATAGAAACCAAAACCGTTTATTCATTTGCGCAATTATATTACTACTAGATATATCACGCGAATATAGGCAGACAGACTCGATGAAACTGAGACATTTTAATTCGCGAAAATAATCAAAATATTTCAAGTGTATTTTGTTTCAAAGAAGTCTCTCAGAAAAACTTTTCCAATCAGGGTTATATATATACATACGCAAAAAGAGAGCGAGAGAGAGAGAGACTAGTTCCTCATTACCATAGTGATGAAGATAACCTGACTGTTTTTCTTGTACTGTGTATCATCAATAACGCTGTTCACCTACCGCTTACAATTTAGTGAGTCGACTCTGATCATTGCGAATATTTCAGTGTATTAAACTGATTTTTCAAAATAAAGATTAAGCATTTTCTTCTATTTGTGTTTTTGTTTTTATACTCCTTTCTCACTCCTTGCAAATCTTAAATCTTCTATTTTCTGATAGACTAATGATAAGTATTGGTTTTGTAGAGATTTTCTTTGTTTGATTGCATGGAGGATTTCATCATGAGCTGACATCAGTTAGAAAACCAATGGAAAACCTGGGAGTACTGGACAGCTGTTTCATTCTAGTTTGGGACTCTTCAGCAGTACGCACCCGCTGGGGTTCGAACCCAGGACCTTCTGGTTACAGGGCGAGCTCGTAGACCATTGAGCCATTAGGACCCGATCCAATGGTCCTTGCTCAATGGTCTACGAGCTCGCCTTGTAACCAAAAGGTCCTGGGTTCGAACCCCGGTGGGTGCATACTGATAATGAGTTCCAAATCTAGGATGAAACAGCTGTCCAATACTTCAAGGTTTTCCAGTGGTTCTCTAACTGATGTCAGCACATGATGAAATCCTCCATGCAATCAAACAAAAGATTAATGATAACTCTGAATTACAGTTTTGTAAATTTTCCTACTGTAGTATTTTAAACTGAATAATTTAAAGTATCACATTTTACCTACATAAGAATCGAACAGAGCATGACAGCGTATGATTCCATAACAGGATAGTTGTATTAGATACAACACACACACAGTAATATTTATTTATTTACTGATAGCGCCTATTTCATAAGTATATCAAGGTGTCCCAGCTCAGAGGAACTCTCAGCAACTGCAGTGCATGCACTAATACACAATCACGCGACACGGTAAGAACACAGATGCAGTTCTAAAGTAAGTAATACTGTTAGGTTGGGAGGGAAGGCTGATCACTGCATCTTTCTTCATGGAGTCTACACGAAACAGTTGCAATAAGGGTGGGGTGACGTCAACACTAGAGATATGGAAAACATAACTTCCAATAAAATCCTAGGATAAGATATAACAGAACCATTGCAATAAAATCTGATAGTGATGTAAGCGTTTTGATATGATTGTGAACGATAAACTGTCATCAGTAAATAGATAATACCACACAATGTGTTATATCAAATAAAATTATACTATTATCGAAATACATTCTATCTAATACAGTGTTCAAATTCTTTTCATATACCAATATGCCTGCAATCATGGAGCGTACAACAACCTAGAGGGTTGAGAAGCCTTGATTTCCAACCCATCGCGCACACACACTCCAGGATTTAAGAGGTACAAACTTGTACCAACACCACATGTTTTGTTGAAACTTGTCGCTTACAATGTCTAAACATTGATGCGAACCAAACAACAATACAGGTTTGGTCTGGACATTAGAAAGTCTTGCAGTTAATGCATATATTGCATCTCAAAGTAAGAGGTAACTTGACAGAAGAGCGTTGTCTCACAGCCATCCCTTCTCACACACACACACACACCAATAGATTGAAGCATGGATCCATCTAGAAATGAATTTGACTGTGTGACCTCAATCTAAAGTCATCGACTTTAAAATTGAATACACACATCGGGTATTTAGGCTCGGAAGAGTATAGTTTAAGGAGACGGTGGAGACTAGCTGGTTACAGATTTGTACCACCACCAACAACACCTTCTAGCACAGTCATTGCTGTTGTGCTATCTCGATCAAATGTTCATTCTCCGTAAGTTGTTGAAATATGGTTACACTTACTATAGGTCAAAAAACCATTGTATATCTTTACATTAATACTGTTTTTCAAAGCTGTACATAATAGAGATGTGCCAGTGATAAGTTTATGAACATCTATAAAACCTTATACAACAAAAACGAAAACAAAACACTTCAGGTAGAATGACAGCATACAACCAGCTATTGCCAAAAAAGTAGTCGGTTTATACGGCTGCCTTGTACTAGGATAACACTATACAAAAGATGGAACAGAATCTTAAGCAAGGAAAATCTGTAAAAAGATGTAGATTTGTCAGTGGAACTGATCAATTCTGCAATTTGCAATTGACACACTTCAAGGTGAAATTCCACCATAAGTTTCCTTTAGAAATCTAAATTAGTCAGATCGCACACAACATATGTGATCTGCTTCCTATCAGAAATGCCAATCAGAAAACCAAGCATAAATATCTCATCACGTCATATACTACTGACTGTGATTGGTATGAGCGACTTGGTTGATGCAAGTGATATCCAACTATTCAATTAGTGGTATATATTAAGCAGAATTTGTCATTTGAATTTCATTGATCACATACAGATTCATTCTGTATCCAAAACATATTGCATACTAATGAGCAGTTTTACTATGTTTTTAATATGATTGGTGTGTATAACTCGAATAATTCTATTGGTCAATTGTGACTGTCTGTAGTCCACTATTTAATTAGTTGTGTATCGGGAAAATGGCTGATGATGATAATATAGTGAAAATTAAATACAACTACGTTTTAATAAGGATAATAATACACTTACCAGTAACATGTGGCCAACATGTCAATTTTTGTATAACATCTAAGTGGTCGTCAATTTTTTCTAAAGAATAATTGACATTCGAATTATTAACATCATTCAGTTTTAGGCCTGATTCATTATTAATACTGGCTAATGGTATCCCATTGATGAGGTTAGCATTGTTACTGTTGCTACTATAGGGTAGTAGTGCTTCCAAACGGTAGGATTGAATAGGAATACCACCGTCGTCCTCTGGTGGATCCCATGTTAATGCTAATCGAGTTGGTTGTAAAAGTGACCCATAGATCTAGACACAAATATAAGATAAATATGTTTAACAAAGGTTATATATATATATATATTCATACATACAGGTCAATTTTTTCAAAAAGAAATGCATATTAAAGTAGTTTTATCAATGAAGTTACTAACCAATGGCTTGAGTCATATGGAGCAGTGTAAATTCCCGAACAGGTTACTAAAGCGTAGTAATAATCACAGGGCAGAAGTACTTTAGATGTCGCTGCTATCTTACATCATAATATTGTTTCTTGCTTAGACGGAGGAGTCAAATATGTTCAATGTACCTGCCTTGATTACACATCCACCTTTAATTCCATCCATAGATGTCTTTTGTTAAATAAGCTTTCCTTGACCCAAACTGAGTCCTGGGCTGTTAACTGAATGCATTTCTTATTTCTATAACAGAGTGCAGTTTATTGTATATAAATATAAATATTCCTTTGCCTTGCTTACTGAAGTCGGTGTCTCTCAAGGTGTTGTTCTCTCTCCTCTCCTTTTTTTTCTTTCTTCTCACACGACTTGCCTCTTTCTGAAGAAATCAACTTCGTTAAATATGCCGGTGGTCTCGTAACAACAGAAAGTAAGACACGGAAGCCAAAGTTCATTTTTCATTAATCGAACCGCTGTTTATATATATCTTTAACCAATCACTGAGCATGTGATTTCGGTTTACATCAAACAACATGAAATAGAATGTTCAAATAGATATATTGTATTCTGTTGCTAATGCCGAACTGAACTGTGGAAATATGTGAGAATAATATTCTGTTGGTACACATTGTCTGTATCACACCACCACAGTCTAACTGTCTCGTTGTCAGTTACTTGCGGATCTGACTATTACAAACTAAATAGCCTTTTGTCGGATATCAGCCAGTCGTCTGAGTTTAATGACCATACGTTAAATCCCTTTAAATGTCAGACAGTTAACTTCACCTTCATGCATAAATGTTACCTAAACGAGCTGGCACATTCACAACATGCTTGAAGTATAGAGGGCACCAAAATAGAAACTAAGTCAACTATAAAATACCTTGCAATAGTTCTATTCTCTGATCTTTCTCAGCCATCCCATGTCTTGTTGGTATTAAATGGTTGGGAGCAATCGGTAGAAAGCTTTGGGCTTGGGTTTTGTGCTAATTAGTAATCGTCAGCAAGGCGTACCTGCAACCTTGAAGGAATTTAAGTCTCTTCTGAGATTCGAAGCCGCTTCACCCAGTGCTGCAGTCAAAGCTACATGAGCTCCTTCAAGGTTGCAGATAGGCCTTGCTGACGATTGCCAACAAGCACGAAACCTAGGTTCAAGGATTTATGCCTATTGCCTTCAACCATCTTATACCAACAATTCACAGTGCACCATGATGGCGAGCCGCCTAGCATGGTGAACACATTGCAAACTTCACTCAATCTGCACCAAAGATAGGACTAGATATATTACACTTGTTACTGACTAGTGTCCAATCTAAAATATCCTGTCTTGTCGATTTTAAAGAAAATCTTCAATCTTACCTTCTACACTAAGAAGTTAAGACGATTATGTATCAGTCAACCTCTACTCCTACAGTTTGTTAACTCTTGAATCTTACCTGTCATTCTTCATTATCTCCTAATCCCCAATCCCCCCATATCTCCTTAGTCCTTCCTGGGATACTCAAAAACAACCATGTCATATTGAGATAGGGATTAAAAGTTTTCAGTAGACCAAGTGGTGTGCCATTAAGTCAACTCGTTACTATTGTACACAACAGACACTCGAACTCATGTGACAAATGGTCTAAATCCATATTGTCTCACTCTCAACGCCTCCTCGATTCACATCTCTACCGCCCCCACACACTCCCCAACACACACACACTCGAATCTCATCAGAGCGGATTAGAAGTCATTATAAAAGAGTATATGCTCGTTAACACAACCAAGTACAAAAACTCAACGATACTCTATTCGACCTGTCCGCCCTCTATGTGACACAGATAGTATTGTATTGTGGTGAGAGCTGGCTGCTAGCCAAAGTTGGTAGACAGTAATTGACGTCATGTTTATGTCCCCAATATTGGTGGTGAGAAAATGAGAAAAGGCTTTGCGTAGGCGGATGTTGCATATGATGATCTGACACAGCCACAAAGAGATGCAAGGTTAACTTTCTGTGAGAAACACCAATCAAAAGACCGTATTTTCTACCAACAATAATCTACAATAATGTACATTAAAATCTATAAATATGTGTTGATTCTCCTTAATAAACGATCTGTTGCCTGGCCCTTGTCTTCTGTTGTTACAGTATTACGCGTGGAACAACACAACTCTCTATGTGATAAGCAATAATAAAAGGCTCTTTTATCTTCTCCTACTTACCATTAATGGTGACACCATTCCAATTATCTTATGATTTTAGTCATTAACATTATTATTATTACCATTCTACACTTTTTGTACATTTTTGGCTTTTTTGCTTCTGCTAATGCCGAAAGGTTGTTGTTATCAGTCTTGGTTTTCCTACACCCTATCAATGTTTTGTTTTTTGATGTTATCGAGTAAATCAAATGCAACATTGAATTAATAATAGTTTTTTTATTCCTTCACGTTCTCAGTGGAACATAGGGCTCCAAGCTAGAGGCTTGAAGTTTCTGTAGCAGTGTTTATTTTTACAGGATGGGGTTGCTAGCCCATCCCAACCTTCCCTCTTTACAGCTTTTTATTACTAGCTGAGCGAGGTAAAAGAGTGCGTCGGGGGATCGAACCCCGGACCATGTGTATGGTCGGCAAGCGTCCTAACCGCTGTACCACCTACGCACAATTAATAATAGTTGGTTGAAGGCAATCGGTAGAATGCCTTGAACAAAGTTCTGGTGCTTATTGGCATTTGTCTGCAGCCTAGAAGGAAATGATGATATCGGTAATGTCACTGAATGCAGCTCTGGCTAATTACTGGTTCGAATCTTTGTGGGATCACTTCCACAAATAAACGCAACTAGGTGCCTTTCAGACCACACTCCGGAGGAACAGAGAGATAGGTCAATGTCGATCTTGACACAGAAGTATAACAGTTCAGTGTGTCTGAATTTCAATCAGGAAAAGGGGAAAATGTTGGAACGACTGACGATGTTACGCATACAGCCTAGCGCTATTACTGAAGAAGTTCTTCTTTCTCAGTAGTTCATTCCTGTTTTTGAATTCCTTGTTTAATAACACTTTTACTAACAAAAAAACGATGGCTTGTCATTTCGAAGTCTACTAGTTTAAGCTTGTTGCGATGCACTTGCTTTCAGATACGCAAAAATTGAAGTTTACTTAGAACCACACGATAACTAATAGCGAAATTAGAGACAGTGCAACATTAGCAAGGTGAATTAGTCAATGGAGTGATGGGTCTTCAGTGAACACGGTACTTTGAAATGTTTTACCGAAGAACCAACTCTTTTATTTAAGAAATTCTATGACAAAAGGTATCGGTTGTAAAACAGATAGTGTGGCTAGAACAACACATTCTGTAGATAAGTGGAATATTTATTCTAAATCATATTAAAAAGGTTCAGGTTACTTGACTGGAGTTCTCTTGGTGCGAAGATAAGTGGCTGGAAGTTCTTATCGAGACTACTGAAATAATTCGCAATGTTACAGATATTCCTAATTGTGGTGGACTGGATCATGCGTCAGACAGTGGGAAACGAGAAGACAGGGATATCCTGGACCGACCGACGTGAAGAACCTAGAAGACCTGGATTTCGCGGATGATTTATGTTTGATGTCACACAAAATCGAAGACTTACAAGCAAAAACCGACAAACTGGTCGAAGAAGCAGCCAGAGAAGACAGGACTCCAGGTGAACATAGACAAGACGGAGGTTATGAAAATAACCAACCAACAACAACAACAGCAGCAGCAACATCCAGTGCCAATCACCATCAACGGGAGGGATTTGAAAGAGGTTACTTCATTCACTTATCTAGGACGAGCATTGTCTCAACTACAGGAGGAACGGACGAGGATGTCAAATCGAGAATCAGGAAGGCGAGAAACACATTGATCAACCTGAAACCAATCTGGAAATCTTCGTCACTCAGCATCAACAACAAAATTCGGATTTTCAATACAAACGTCAAGTCAGTCAGTTCTTCTATACGGATCAGAAACTTGGCGGCGGGTCACAAAGAATATTTCCAACAGGTTGCAGACCTTTATCAACAACTGTCTTCGCTCTATACTGAAGATCAGATGGCCGGAAAGAATCACAAACAAGAAACTATGGGAACAAACAAAACAAGAACCAATCGCCCAACAAATATGCAGGAGAAAGTGGAGATGGATTGGACACTCGCTGAGGAGGCCGCTGGGTGACATCGCGCGTCAGGCCAACGCTCGAGTGGAACTCGAAAGGGAAGCGGCGAGTGGGACGTCCAAGGGTGACATGGAGGAGATCGTGTGAAGAGGAGTTGAAACAGTATGGATTAACATGGATGCAGGTGAAAAGTACAGCAGAAGACAGAAGCAAGTGGAGACGTGTAGTTGAAGCCCTATGTTCCACTAGGAACCCAAGGGAACAATAATAATAATACAGATATATCCACTTTTAGACGCAGAACTCATTTTCTCACCATTCTTATTTAACTTCATTGTAGGTGTACTTGTAGAATGAACATCATAGACTTAGATATGCTAGGCGTTTGCTTATAACAACAGGAAAGTCTTGCTGATCTAGAGAAAGTAGATGATGTTGTACGTTTGTTTGAAGACGATAAATAACTATCTAAACAAGCTTTCCATGCGACTCGATTCCATCAAGTGTAAGGTGATGCTGCAGAACTGGAATGTACAGACCCATTGGTTTGAGAATGAATGTTGAAATGATTGAATTTGAAATTGTATCACCTTATGGACTGGTTACTGACGAAACCTCGATATGGAGGATACAAAAGGCTCGCCTGATATTGCCTAGTATGCGTCATCTTTGATGTCAGCATGATATCTGGCTATCTATCAGAATATGTTTGTACTGCGTAACAGTTTAGTTTGTCCACTTAACTACTATGAAACATGAAGGTTCAAAATGGAAGACGTGTAGTTTTTAGCAACTACTGACTATCAGTATCTGCTTTCTATATCTTGTGTTATGTGAAGCAATGTGGTCGTAGAGTACTTTGATTGGACACCAGTAACTAGTGCTGTGTGTCTAGTCCTTTCTTTGGTGAATCCTATCAGTCAGGTTTGCAGTGTGGCCACCATTCTAGGTAGCTCGCCATCATGGCGCACATTGATTTGATGATATTAGATGGTTGGAGGCAATCGGCAGGAAGCCTTGGACCTAGGTTTCGTGCTAGTTGGCACTCTGTCCAAGCCTTGCTGACGAGTGCCTCCAACCATCTAATAGTCGCAGAGTGTTTGGTAAGGATGGTTAGTCATTTTTCATAGGAATGCAATCGTTCAAGTTGCCAAACCTAAGTAGCTTTATTGAAACTATAGTGAATGACGATGTATGGAAGAAAGATGAAGACACCACTCTGCAGTTTCAGAACCCAAAAGATCATAAGGAATTGATACATTTACGTCACTGTGAATAACTTTGAGTCATTTCACCAATAGCGTCAACCAACTGAAGCTCAGCAGTCCAAGGACTCAAACCAGAAGTTGAAAAAATTCATGTATCCGTATCATATTTTCGTCTGACCATCCCTAAATGTCTTCAAATTTAATCTTATATAAGATAAAATTGATTGCTAATGTAGGCAGTGATTAGTAGGTCTGTAAGCTAATGCACCAGTTGGTTATTCAACAGTTCCTCTACCTCTTCACAATTTCGCTACCTTTATAATTATTTAAAATTGTTTATTCGAAAGTTTTTTTTTAATATACTTAAAGAAATACAATAACTTACTCTTAAATTTCTCGGTGGAGATGGATGATCTGGAAGTGTGGCTAAAGTTACTGTTTCACTCCAACGACTTCGACCATCTAGATTAGATGCTGCCAGACGGAATCGATATCGTGTATTCCGGCGTAAATTATCAACACAATGTTCTGTACCAGTACCGTCAAAAACAGTAACAAAGCCATGCCCCATAGCTTGATCATCCATTTCAAGCGTATATGTGATTGGATTTAAATGATTTGAATAGCTAGACGGATTTGTTTGTTCACATAGATTATCATGAAGAAGATGATGATGATGATGGTGAAGGTGATGATGATGAAGGTGGTGATGATGATAATGATGACTGTGATATTGATATTGATCAGTTAAATTACTTGGTGGACGCCAACCAAGTGTCAATGAATGAACATCAGCTTGAATTAAAAACGGTGGAGATGGCATATCTGGTGGACTACCGGATGTTGAAGCTGAAAGTATTGGACTCCATGAACTTGAGAAAAGAAAAACAACAACAACATATATCAAACTATAATTTTCAGAGAGAAGTGTAATCATCAGAAAGTTTAATTAACATCAATAAGAAACTACTCACAACAAAATTATCAGTAACAGGTTTGATCACTAGCTGACATATCAGTAAGCGAAACATTAGGAAACTAGAGAGTATCGGAGTTACCTGGAGTTCTAGCGAGAAGTTCATCAAGTCCGTTGAGAGGACAGTACTCACTTATGACACTGGCTGGCAGTTGAACTATGCATATAGCTAGGTATGTCGGCCGTTCCCAGCGTTTGCTATCCAAACGAATCAGCGAACACTTACCTTCATGGTTTTAGAAAGAAGATCCCCTCGCCACAGCTCTATCCTAGAACACTTGATCGAACCGGACACTAAGCAAACCCACAAAACAACTTCTCAGTTATCTACACAATACGTGGGAATCTTGCCAAAAGAGTACGAATTAAACTTCTTCAAACTGCAGAAGCAATGGCAATTCACATATTGAATCCTGAACTCTCCATACAAAAGAAGTTTGTTCAGTCACTAAATCTACAATGGTCCTGATCTATCTTAACACCAAATGCATAATTTTGTCTTACCTCTTTCTTCTTTGTTTGTCTGTTTCTTAACTGCATTATTTTCTACCCCCACCCTCTATTAAATCTCTACCCTCATGACGACTGTTGCTAACTCCATTTCGTTTATTTTCAAGTGAATTCTACTCAGCTTATTAACTTAACTCTCATTCATTTTCAAGTGAATTCTACTCAGATTATTAACTTGACTCTCATTCATTTTTCATTGAACCCTATCAATAAGATTACGTCACCCAACCTACTTTTGTAACTTTATTTTAGTTTCTAACAGATTAACGCCTTATAAATTACGTAATTTGTTGTCAAAAAAATTAACAATTGCATTAACACATCTTTGGAAATATTCCTTTTGTTGCCAAGAAAAATTACTATAAATTTGCGGTTTGTACAGCTTGAGAATGATATAGCCGAAAAGAGTAACTCTTTGCTGAACGCCTTTTCTTTCCTATGACTGAATGGGAATTTTCAAATATAGCGAATTGGCAGAAGTTGGAGTTCATGGGTCATTGAATCCCGGGTCACAGTGGTTAAAAAATGGTCTGCGAGCTGACCTTGTAACTGTTCACGTCTATCAGTAATTGTAGTTTCCAATTATTCATATCAATGACTTGTATATATCATGTTGTGATTTTCTCCCTTTCTTGATGCTAGCGGAAGATCCACACGTTGTGCTCTAAATATTTCAAGTTTTCAAAGCAAACTATGGGCAATGTTGACTTTGAACTGCTAAGTTACATCTAACAACTGACACGCTAACTGAAGTGATATACAACACCTAGAATATATGCAATTCTATTGCTTTATATACTTTTAGTGAACATCTATCAATCCATTAGTTAGTTTATTTGGATAGTGCTATTAAAAGACGGAGATTATCTGAAAAAATGGGATGTATGTGCACAATACATTTCGAACAATCTGATCACACATTTACTTGTCAAGGCAATATATGTGAACAAATAAAGGCCAATTCAAAAGTGACACAAAGGGATAAGAAGAATTGAAGAATAGTAAGAATAATTAACACCACGTTTGCGTATATCGTCAGATACGGATTACCAAGTAATAATAAACTGCTTTTGGATACACAAAGGGGGGGGGAGGCTTAAGCTAATGAATAGTTATAGCCTAAGCGTTTTTCAATGATTGCCCTTGACCGTTTTTAACAATAACGTTAAAAGCTGTTTTGACATCAATCTTGTGGTTGATGCCAATTAGATGTTTAGCTACCTATGAATTCGGTAGTCTGCCAACTGTGTCTATTGATTTTCTGAAGTTCATCTGTTTTTATGCCCAGTTTCGAATATGCTCTACCACCCTCACATGCAAAGCGTGACCTCTCCTGCCTATGTGTGTGTGCCCGCAACCAGTCTACATTTAAAAAGATAATCGATGCGATCATCATTCATGTATCTGTTTGTCAATTCTAAGTGACCTTATTTAGCACTATTAGAAATAGTTAGTGATACTTCTTGGCAGACTAAACCTTGTTAGATGAAGCAGCACTTGGCTAAAAGTTAAAGGCTTAAGCCAATGGGTCAAACCTTCGGAGCTTAGCTGATAATAGTCAAGAGATAGTGAATTTCTTCTAATCATTTTCTAAGAGTGATCAAGTTATCATCTAGTTAATCAGTCGGGAACAAATAGGAATTGTGGACTGAATTTTTTAAGAAGTCATGGATACAAACTACTGATAAAGGAATGACAAATATTACAGCGCCCATTAGAGAGTTAAAAATAAAAATATGCAATATTTATTCGCGTGTTAATTTCAGCAAGATTTCAGCCTTTTTTCCATCAGATAAATTATCTATCTATAAAGTAAACATAAATATCTCTGTGTGCTTAACACTCAACTACACGTTTACACACCAACATCTATAGTTTGGTGGAAAAAGTAGATTAATCTTGTGGCGTGTGCTACTGACAAGATTTATCAGTAGTATATAAATGCAGACTGATTGGAAGTGACCAGAAATTGAAAGCAACATTTTAAGTCAATGGTTGAAGAGGCAGAAGTGTTCAAACCTTAAAGCTGAATTTAGTTTCCATTGTCGACACGAAATAATCTCATTGGACAGCTTGTTTAACCTTAGGCCAATTGCAAGCAATTCAGAACAATCTATTCTTCTCTGAAGTCGACGAACTTTAATGTGGTTGAAGATATAGGTGATATGATGCTTTCCGTTAAAAGTCCGTTACCGAATCTCTTACTTTCTCTCGCTACGGTCTAACCAGAGATTTGATCAGTTTCGAGAATGACTAGTCATCACTTTTTACGAGAGTGTTTGTGAATAAAATCCGACTGATGATTGACCTAGGCATTCGAATTTCAGCCAGTGGGTACTGGGTTCAAATCATGCTGTACAGATTTTAGCATGAGCAACTGGGTAGTATCGTCAACTCTATCCTCTCTCCACACACACACATAATAGACGCATAGCCTGGTACGAGGAGGCATCTGTTAGAGCCAACTGAGTTCTAACTAGCTGTGAGTAGACTGAGTGCTTATTGAATGTTATTGCTAATAATCGTCAGTATAATAATAATTTGCTTCATTCCAAAACAGTACTTATGATACAGCATGGAATTCTCGGCATTTAATACAGTATTGTATCTGATTTACTCGATAAAAGCAAAAAACAAAACATTATAGGGTATAGGAAAACCAAGACTGATAACAACAACCTTTCGGCATTAGCAGAAGCAAAAAAGCCAAAAATGTACAAAAAGTGTAGAATGGTAGTAATAATAATAATGTTAATGACTAAAATCATAAGATAATTGGAATGGTGTCACCATAAATGGTAAGTAGGAGAAGATAAAAGAGCCCTCTATTATTGCTTATCGCATAGAGAGTTGTGTTGTTTCACATGTAATACAATACTATCTGTGTCACATAGAGGGAGGACAGGTCAAATAGAGTATCGTTGAGTTTTTGTACTTGGTTGTGTTAACGAGCATATACTCTTTTATAATGACTTCTAATCCGCTCTGAAGAGATTTGATTGTGTATGCGTTGGGGGAGTGTTGGGGGCGGTAGAGATGTGAATCAAGGAGGCGTTGAGAGTGAGACAATATGGATTTAGACCATTTGTCACATGAGTTCGAGTGTCTGTCGTGTACAATAGTAACGAGGTGACTTAGTGGTACACCACTTGGTCTACTGAAAACTTTTAATCCCTATCTCAATATGACATGGTTGTTTTTGAGTATCCCAGAAAAGACTAAGGAGATATGGGGGGAGTGGGGAGTAGGAGATAATGAAGAATGACGGGTAAGATTGAAGAGTTTACAAACTGTAGGAGTAGAGGTTGAGTGATACTCCAATAATCTAATGAAACCAGTGAGTGCGTGTTTTGAACTCAGAATACAAGACCGTTAGCTTCACTGTCCACAACTTCCTCATACGAATGTATAAAATGCATTTTAGGTACAGTAACAATCAAGTTGAATGAATACAACCTACCAATTCACACAGATGTGTAGATATAATGAAGAAAGATGTGTAACTCAGGTGGAAGATGACAGAGTTCAAGGTTACCAGGAGGAACGACTAACAAAATCGTAGAGAAATTTAAAAGTTCACTTCAAACTGAAGTATGTATGCACTGAAGATGTTGCCTAGTATGACAATGAAAGCTTCGTAACTAAACCTAGAGAACACAAATTTACACTAAAACACAGAGATGTGTTATACTGCTTTAGTGTTAAACTAAAAGTAAGTTATGCCCTGGAATTGATTATCCCCAGTCCCACGGAATACTATTAGAGTTATGCGAAAGACAGTTCCAAACTCAGTGCATTAGGAACTGATATATATATCCACGTGATTTAGAAAAAAATAACCATGAGAAATTACAAACTTTGACAAGAATTTTTATTCATGTGATAAATTATCATTAGCAGTGTGGTAAGGTAAAAGCAAGTTCCACGTCACATACTATGTGCACATAAACCAACACACCAGGATATCTTTACACCTGGATAGTGAGCCATTTTTGTAAGACTACACACACACGCACACACACACATGCGTACAGATATGCATTACGTATTTCATTACTATCTACATCTGAATATCTCTCCGAAATTTTATCTTATGCAAAATAATAAGATTTATAATTATTATGAGAACCAGACGAAGAAGAAGAAGAAGCAGGAGGATAATTAAAAAAATACAGACAAACTGAGAAGAAGCCTGCAAAACACATTTGGTAGCATTTTTAAATACACCAAGGGGTTACATGAAGACAATAATAATAATAACGCAGACATAAACAAAATACGCGTCAACAAAAAGAGGGTAAATTCCATACTCTTGATAGAAACACATAATTGCAATAATAATATAATAGTAATAATAATAATGTTCATACAGAAATATTACTAATAATAATATACACAGTGTGAATGGCATTACCTTTGTCCGTATTGATTTATCGCTGCAACACGAATCAAGTATTCTGTAGACGGAGACAGTTGATTTATCTTATACGATCTACCGAACACTTGAATAGGTTCAAAAAATTCTGGATCCGTCTGCATAGAATCACAAAACAAAAATATATAACAAATAAAGTTTAATGCATATGGTTAAGACAAAATTATTTTCTCTTATAATTCAAGTGGTTTTATCGGGCGACTTTGCTACACTTGTTTTCTTGGTTAGCTTAACTACAAATATAATAAAAACAACAGTATTTATATAAGAACAGTTTATATATATATATATGTATATATATGGCGTCGGTGGCACAGCAGTAGGATGCTCGCCAACTACGCATGTGGTCCGGGGTTCGATCTCCGGGTGACTCACTACTTTACCTCGCTAAGTCTCTAATAAGGCTGGTAAAGAGGAAGGTTGGGAATGAGGCTAGCAACCCCATTGCATGAAAATAAACACCGCTGCTACCGAAACTTTAAAGCTCTAGCTTGAAGCCCTATGTTCCACTAGGAACGTAAAGGAATACAATAAAAAATTATATATTATATATGATATATATATATATATATATAACGCATGAGTTCTTCATTATCAGCAGTCAACACCATTTAGTGAAGTTTCATATTTTGTATTGTATATTATTATTACTCTATAATTATTACTCTAGGTTTCGTGATTCCGTGTTATTATCAGCAAAATGCTGGTGCATTTTAAAATACTGCATACCTTACGAAAAACAGAAGTGAACTGATTAACGAACAGACAATATTCTTTTTGATAACTTCTTTATCAGGTTTCATCCCCCGTCACACACACACACATGACAGCTACCAGTGTGGCTAAACAAAGTTGGCGGAAACACCGTCGACAGTTCGATATCAAACTACCTCGTCCAAACAAACCGAAAGACTGAAATTGAAAACTCTTTTAGTTAAATCTGTCGAGTACCAAATAAATTGCCAAAAGCCTCTAGGAATGGAATACTCCAAACAGTTGAGGCCATTGCAATTCACTTAAATCAATTGGATTTCTGCGTTCAGTTTAGTATTATAATAAAGCATATTCTTACTTATAGAGATGCTTTTGAACTGTGGTCTACAGATATTAACGATTCAATGTAATTCAGGAGAAAACATTAATGCTTTTTAATAACAATTATTCTTGAATTTCTATAGTCATATAACTAACTCTAGAACCTGATGAAGAAGAAGTTATCGAGAAGAATATTCTTTGTTAAATAATCAGTCTTTTGGAATTTTGAATGGTCATCTTTAATCAAGCAAAATAAACGTTTAAAACAGGCTTTCTAAAGTAGATAAAGTTACACAGACTGGTCATCTAGTATACTTCACTTTGATAAATTGTGCCCGTACGTAAGACGTGCTGTGGGACATGTATTTCAAAACTATATTGAACCCTTTTATTGCTCTGCACATACTACTGATATATGTATATATATCAGTAGTGTATATGTATGTATAACGTGAATCTTGCCAGACTAGTTGATAGATCTGCCCTACTCTACCTCACCATCTGTTATGCTGTAGTGTTGTTTGATTACTTTAACATGGGAAAACGCCTATGGTTGAAAAATTCGAACAACGTTTCACATCAGTAGCAAATACAGGATTAGTTTATTTTTCTCATGCAGTCATGCGATCATTTGTTACACTATTGCAAATAATTTCACTTTGAAAAGTGCTGATTTCATTCTATTCTGTTAATCATCAGTTAGTTTAAAAAGATTAACAAGAGAATTCTATCTATCTATCTATCTATCTATATGTGAACAAATCAGCTTTCGGCAATATGAACTCAGTTATCTAATGTTCACATCAACTTGATGTGTGATTGACAGGAATTAATTAGCATAGTGCATAGTGTGTAAATTTCTCTCCAATTTACTTCATACACGTTACAAAATAACAGAATTATAAGATACACACACCTAAATTAAGTATTGCAGTTTTACCGGTTGAAAAATCATTATAAAGAAAATGACGCCAGTGTAATAAGAAAAGAGATTTACTGAAATGATACACAGCTGAGTTTGTTAGGTAATGAAATAATTCTCTAAACAGCAAAATAAGTTACTATGGCGCCTAGATCATTTATCGCGTAGACGATTAGCCTTAAAAAAGAAATATACAATCCAATGATAGGTGTATTATAGCAATGCGTATTTAGAAAAATGGGAGAATTAAAAATCATATTAACCATAACAAAATCTAAAACCAGTCAACAAAATAGCAAAGAAGACAGAGTGTAACGACAGAAGACAAGGAACAGGCAACAGATCGTTTATTGAGAAAATCAAGACATATTTATTGATTTTCATGTGCATTATTATTCGTTATTGTTAGCAGAGAAGCAACGTCTTCTGATTGGTTGTTTTCTCGCTGAAGGTTATTCTGTTATCTCTTTGTGGCCGTTTCTCAGAAAATCAAGCCATATATCTGCGAATGGTATTTCCACATATTAACTCCGCTGTGATTGGCTGGTGATTAAATTTTTCTCATGACCCTGATTCGGGACGTAAACATTGACGTAAATTGTTGTCTACAATTCCGGCTTGCAGCCAATTCTCACCATAAGAGTATGATTATGGAGGTATACACTACTGATCGATTGAGATGAGTAGGTGTATACCAGTCACATCAATCGATAGTGTATGCTAACCAGATTATAGAAGTGATCTAAACACCGGATGGTTGTTTCGCTCATTTTTGGCCGACCTCATCAGTGCGATGTGCCTGGTTTAAATCAGCTTAGAGAGCCAAATCACTTCAAACCACCCGACTTGACTAGAAAGCGCTACCAGTTCACGTGAGTAGTTTCCAGCTATCAGTATTATACACCATCATATTATTTTGCTTGTTAACTTCATTTCCATTTACGGTATCAAGTAGACCGCAATATTATGCCTTGAATACCTGTGAGTGCTCCCAAAGAAAACTGTAGTGAATTTCCACTTCGAACTGTGTAATTCGCAAGTTGAGAATTCGATTCTAAAAGAAAAACTCCCATTGACTTGTTTTAATGAGTTCCACTGAAATTCACACATAATTGACTAAAATTACACAGTGCGTATTTTAAAGAGAACAGTAGTAATTATTGAAACACTATTGGTTTTTTTTTCAAGTTTCATCACGGATCGATATCAGTTAGAGAAACACTGAGAACCACTGAAGAGTACTGGGCAGCTGTTTCGTCCTAATTTAGGACTCGTCGTCAGTGCGCACCGACCACAAGGGGTCGGGTCCAGGAGACCTAGTAGGGTATTCACCTATAAATTCTAACTTCTACCAAACTCGTGATTTTATCCCGACTGGCACCAGACATTGTCATCTGTGGCGAGGATTGCTACTCATCTCCCCACTAGATGGACCCTGGTGGTCACGAATTCACACTAAAACTCCAGGCAACTTTGTCCTATAGCCAGTGACTAGCGAGCATTAAATAAATTTTCAGTAGTTTGTAAGGATTTGATTTATTTCAGGTTTGACCACGGACTGATATCAGTTAGTTGGTTTTAAAAATAATTAACTTCATGCAGAAATTTCTTCTGATGAATTTGAACAACGCGATAACAACACATAGAGCAGAGAAAAAAACGGACCTATCTTATTCCGTCAATACCTTGTCAACTACCTATTACCAGAGAAGTCGAAGTAAGCATTTTTAATATGATTTTATAAAACTTCAGTTGGTTGCAAAATAATGATACATATTAACCAGTCGTGCATCGCTGGTTCTGCGGTAGAAAGCTTGTCAACTACGAACGTGGCCCGTGGTTCAAATCCCAATAGTAAGCGCGGTAAAGAGGGAAGGTTGGGTGTCAAACTACCAACTCCATAAAACCACTGCTACTGAAACTTCAAAGCTGAAGCTTGAAGCCCTATATTCCACTGGTAACGGATATATATATATATATATATATATATATATATGGAATCGCAACGTTAAGGTAGCAAAATATAATGAATCGTTACAATTGTGTGTAATATAGGTGAGCTTTCTAGAAAAAAAGTTAAGGGTAGTAATAAGATATTGAAGGCCAAGAAACGTGTTAATTTTTACTCTGGTTTTACTATGCTTGTTATCTTCACATGTGAACAGTCTACAATATTTGTAACGTCATCTTATAACCACTTCATATACTGGGTTTTGTAGGCATTTTAACTTTCTTCAACACATATATATCATTAAGAACCGACCTCAGTTAGAGAATTATTGAAAATCAGTGACAGTTGGACAGCTGCTTCGTCCTATCTGCTTTAGAAGTGGGTACCGATGACTACACAAGGGATTGAACCTATGATCTTGATGCAACAAAGGGTTGGAATTCAATAACCCGTGAACCAACGCCGTAGGATGAGTATCCACTTCTCCCCGGCATAGTGGGTGGGCCCCAACATGATACAGTCATTGAAAACCAGTGATTCTCTAACTGATGTCAGTTCATAACACAATTTACATTGGAAATAAGTCGTTTCTCATGAATTCATCATGAACGACAAAAAAAGTATTGACTAAGTAGTTTTTTTTACAAAAACGGGAAGAAAATGAACTTAAAACAAAAAAAGTAAAACCAAAGTCTTACTACAATTAAAGCGCAAACTATAGTGCAACATATCGACAGTAACTATACTAAGGTGGTTAGAGTGTTCGCTAACTGAAATGGAACTGGTTTCCATCTTTTAACCAGTCAGACAAGTCCAATTTAACAAGACAGACAATTTCAAGCCAGAAAAAAGATGTTAAACATCGCTAATTTCGTGGGGCAGTCTAATAGCTTAAAAAAAACTATTTTTTGCAGTTGTCGCACACACCCTTATCGCCTTTTTCTACTTTTCAAAGTTTGTGAGATTTCCACGCCTATCGGCTGCTAACTCAATAAACCCATTAGCGTCAACGTAATTTTAAACGCATATATTGGCACGGATGAAGTTGTCAATGGCAGGAACGGAAAAGGAAGAAAGACCCTCATCACTCTGAAATCAGTGTTGAAATCTACTGCACTGAATATATGATGAACAAGATGTGAACTTTCAACACTAATGTGAAATCAGCTCTTCTTTATGGTTCAGGGACT